GTCTGTAAAGTGATTCTTTGCAAGAATGAAGACCTGATTTTTAAAGTTCTTGTCTCACATGCACAAGGACCTGGATTTGATTCCCCGAACCTACATGAAAAACAGGCTCGGTGGCATGCACTTGTAATTCCAGTGCTGGGGAGGCAGAGACAGCAGGGTCCCTGGAACTCACTGGTCAGTCAGCCTAGCCTAAGGGGCGAGCTCCTGGCCAATGAGCACCTGCCTCAAAATGCAAGGTGGATGATTATCTTGAGAAGATCCACAGTTCACGTCTGGCCTACACAGAGACAGACAGACAGACAGAAAGACACACACACACAGAGGTGGGGAAGAGTGACAGTACTAAAATGCTTATGGTGCTTGCCTATCCACCCAGAGCTTGAAGACTGTCAAGTCCAGCCTTCATGCTCACAGCAGTTGGTGACAGATCTAGAGGGAGGGATATGCCATTGGGCAGTCAACCTGCAGACTGACCAAGTGATCTGGTCAGTGAGTAAAAGATGGACTGGTCGATCGGACTATGAAAGACATTAGGTTGTTAGTTAATAGAAACTGGTGTGGAGAATAAAGAGGGATAAAGGCCACCAGGATGGGGTCCCACATGGGTTAAAGCACTGACAGCATATGGCTAGAAGCCAGGCGAGGAGTCCAATTAGTAGCAGAGGCAACAGAAGCAGCAGAAATGGGGCCTTGGTGAGATGGCGCAGAGGCACAGCAAGCTGGCACCAAGCCTCACAGCCTGGATTCAGTCCCCAGAAGCCTTAGAGACTGACTCCTGAAAGCCCACTCCCACAAGCCCATGGTGGCATGTTTGTAGAGTTGTTTCTTCCAATAATAAATGAGGCCGGGCATTGGTGGTGCACGCCTTTAATCCCAGCACTAGGGAGGCAGAGGCAGGTGGATCTCTGTGAGTTTGAGGTCGGCCTGGTCTACAGACCGAGTCCCAGGACAACCTCCAAAAACACAATACAGAGAAACCCTGTCTCGAAAAACCAAAAAAAGAAAAAAAAAAGAGCTGGATTGGGGGTTAGTGGTGTATGCCTTTGATCCCAGCACTTTGGAGGCAGAAGCAGGTGGATCTCTGTGAGTTCAAGGCCAGCCTGGTCTACAGAATGAGTTCCAGGACAGGGTCCAAAGCTATACAGAGTAACCCTGTCTCGAAAAATAAAAAACCAAACCAACCAAACAGACAGAGCTGAAATGGGGCTCCAGGGTAGAGATGGAGTAGGTATCCCTAAACCCTGTGGGGTTCCTGTGCCCTCCTACTATGAGAATCTTAAAAATTATATAAAGTTCATTGTGTGGTATAATGTGTACATGATCGTGTGTTTGTGCTCATGTGTGGGCCAGGGGTTAGCATCGGGTATCTGATTACTCTTCACCATATAGATACCTTTGTAAGATTGAAGTTTGAAAATTTTATTATATTTTTATATACATGTGTATGCCACATGTGTATGCATGCCAAGAAGCCAGAAGAAGGTGTTGGATTCCCCTGGAGCCTGAGTTACCGGTGGTGGTCAACTGCCTGACATGGCTCCTCTGGTGACACAAGGGTCCTCTAGAAGAGGTATTCTTTTTTGTTGTTGTTGTTGTTTTTGGTTTTTCAAGACAGAGCTTCTCACTGTAACCTTGGCTGTCCTGGAACTCACAGAGATCCACCTGTCTCTACCTCCCGAGTGCTGGGATTAAAGGTGTGTGTGTACCACTACTGCCTAGTTGGAAGAGGTATTCTTAACTTCCAAACCATGTCTCTTGGCCTTTCACCTTATTTGCTTGACGAAGGGTCTCTGAACCTGGAGAATACTGATTTAGCTAGGCTGCATGGCTAGCAAGCTCAGGGAGCCTTTTCTCCACCTCTCCAACTCTAGGATTACAGGTACGTGCCCCCATACCCAGCTGTTATGTAGCTGCTGGTGATACAGACTCATGCATCCATAGAGCCACCTCCCCCAGCCCTGAGTCAGTATGAGGTACCACTGAAGGTTTTTATGCAGGGAAGCAATATGCTTACACCGAGTGTTACGAACATGGGCGCTGACTCTAGACAGTCTTGAACTGAAGTAATAAATTTAGGCACGTTGTTTAGCCCCTCTGGATCCCTCATTTGTAAGATGGGAATAATAATAGTATTGATCCTACAAGGTTGAAACAAAGTGAGAAACTCCAGACAATGAACTTTGGATGAGGCTTCCTGGCAATATTTTCTTCAAATGTCAATTATTTCACGCTCTTATCCCTTGGTTCTTGGGGGGATTCTATCTTTTCTTTGCTGGTTGGTTCTGTATGATTTCTCTCTACATCCATCCTCAAGTGAGCTCATCCCACCATCTGGTGCTTTTAAACATCTTTAAATGCTACTCACCAGCAGCGGGCTTCCACCGTCAATTCCTTACTGGGCCTCTCACTGAAGTTTCCAACAGGCGTCTCAAATATAACTTGACTCAAAGAGGACTCCCACTCTCCTATTCCCCACCCTACCCCTGTTCCTCCGACAGTGTGCTCAGTTCAATGGCAAATCTCAGTGTGGATGAACTCAAATCCTCAGCATCTTGGACTTGTTCCTACTTCTTACGCTGCCAAAAACACATCAAGAAACATTAGCAACAAGTGTCCCTTGCCTTTTCTAATACCCTTCATCTCTGCCGCATTTCTTACTTCCAGGGGCCTGTTATGAGGACTGGGAAAGGGCCCAACCGAGTCCATCATAGAAGCAGCATCATATCGGTGCTCTGTGTGTGTGTGTGTGTGTGTGTGTGTGTGTGTGTGTGTGTGGTGAATGTGTGTGTTGGGGGTGATGGCCTGTGAGTACGCACATGGAGGGAGGAAGTCTATGTCAGGTTTTTCCTTGATTTTGCTCTGCCTTATTTTATTTATTTATTTATTTTGCTTTTTCGAGACAGGGTTTCTCTGTGTTGCTTTGGAAGCTGTCCTGGAACTCACTCTGTAGACCAGGCTGGCCTCGAACTCACAGAGATCCACCTGCCTCTGCCTCCCAAGTGCTGGGATTAAAGGCGTGTGCCACCAACGCCCGGCCTGCCTTAGTTTTTTGAAAGAAGGTCTCACTCTCACTATTTACTCTTGGCTGACCTTGAACTCACAGAGATCTTCCTGCCCCTAGCTCCAGAGTGCTGGGATTAAAGGCATGAGTCACCATACCAGACCCTCTCACTGCATTTGGAGTTTGCTATTTGCTGGGCTGGCTAGTCCCCAAGTCCCAGAGATCCTCCTGTCTCTCACATAGCGCTGGGGTTACAGACATGCACCGCTGCACCTGCCTTTCACATGGGTGTTGTGGATCTAAAGCCTTCTCCCTACACACAGGTTTTTAGATAAATAATGTCTGGGACATACAAATAACTTCCTGAGGCCCTATTCACCCTATAGGCCAGCACACAGTAGGCTCACAGTCTTTTGGGGGTCATAGTTTGCTGCTGTTCTTGAAGCTCTCTGCTAACACAATTCAGGATGGCTACAGTGGCCTTCTCGATGTCAAGGAATGGGGGGGCGGAGGCCTCTGCCCTTGCTGCTGTGTGCCCATGGCCTGCTCCACTCCCACCTTTACCACCCTGGACCATCCTCCAAAATGCCACCACACAGTGCTTACCTACATCTGCTTACCTCCTCCGTCTACTCTGATGTTTTCCCACATCTCACCCCAAAAACTGTCTTTATTAGACAGGTTAGCTGTCTCTTGACAGCATCCAAGGTCAATAGGGCCTTAACTCAGGGCAGGGGTACATATCCAGCATGCAGGAGACTTCATCTCCAGAAGGGAAATCTTACCTACAAACTCTAGGCTAGCATGGGCTATTTTGCCCATAGCTGTAACTTCCATAATCTGCATAATGCTTGGCCAATAGCTACACAATAAATATTTATGGAATAATGACTTTCTAAATGCCACTCCCTTCTCTGAACTCTTGTAGTACTGGTCTGTGCCACTTCTGAGGGACTTACCTGGACACTTTCTCTGTTGGTGGCTGTTCCTGAAGACTCTCACTTGCTATGAGCTCAGAGGCCTAGGGCACAGTCTTTCCGGGATGAAGTTTACTGATCCCCCCACCCCCTCCACGGCCTGATTTGATTTTAAATAGAGGGTGAGCAAGTCTGGTAGGTAAGTATTATGAGCAAGACTTGCATTCTAGGTCTCTTGCATTCTAGACAACTCACCAAAACATTTTGAAAAGCGAATTTTTAGGGCTGGGGCTTCAGTTCAGTGTAAGAGCATTAGCTTAGCATATATGAGGCTCTAGGTTCAATCTTCAGTTCTGAAAACAAAGAGGGATTCCTGAGTCACTGGATGGATCGAGGAAAAGCCTCATTAGGCAAAAAGGATGATTCTTTACAGATAATGTAGAAAAGTATACCTAACAGCCAGCATTTATTGAACCCAAAAGTTCTAATCTTTTTACCCGCGTCTTCCTCACAACTACCCTGTCTGGTAGCCAGGAAGTGCCGACAGGAATCCTTAAGGCTTATTCACCTGCCATCTTTTGGTACCTACAGGCTGCCTGCCTGGTCGTGATAGCAGGTGTTCAGTCACAGGGGCGGCAGCGCCGGTGTCCCAGTGCAGGTTCCACTCGCTCTCTAGGGGCCGGGCTCCATTCCGGCGCACCAGTTCCGGGTCCGGGTGGGGCGCGGAGGGCCAGTGCCCTCCTAGTTCAGGGCCTTCCGCATCCTCCGCCCAGGGGCCCAGTGAATCTCTCCACCCTCAGGTACCCCGTGTCCTCCAGATGCTAGATGGCGAAGCTGGCAGCAGGAGGGTGCCGAGGGTGCCTTGGTCCCTCCGGTACGCCAGAGCCCCCGGCTTACAGAACCGACGCGCCGGGCCCGCGTAGGGCCCGCCCTCCCCACATCAGGACACGCCCACTCGACCACAGGCCACACCCCCATCCCCGCCCCCCGCGCAGAGCTCCATACTTGGCGATCGCCGCGGCCCCGCTCGCTCATTGGCCGCGAGCTGGCGGCGTGGGGGGCGGGCCGGGCTGGCCGGGGCGGGGAAGGAAGGTGGTGGCGGCCCGGCGAGGGGGGGGAAGGGGGCGCTGACCCGGATGTTCACTCTTGGGCACCCGGGGAAGTGGAAGCGCCGGGCCCTGCTGCGGGGGGGAGAGCTACAGACGCCGGGACAGGGACCGTCGCCGCTGCCGCCACCATGGTAAAGGGATCCCCCCACGGCCCCATCCCGGGACCCCCTGCGGGAGCTCACGTCTCCTAGCCTGCGAGCCCGCCGGCCCGGGGAGGGTGGGGACCCAGGGTGGGGGAGGGGCGGGGTCCGGGACCCTGGGCAGACGCCACCCTTCGGGTCTGGAGGGGTCGGCGGGAGGCTCGGCTGGTGCGTGACCCCGCCCTGGGCTCCATGTGGAGCCCGGTTCTTTCCCCGGCATGTCCTGGCTAGTCTCGAGGATCCCAGGCTAGATCTTCCTTTCCCTAGAGGCCGGGCCAGGCACCCCTCTCTCAGGCCTGCATCCCACGGCCTGAGCTAGGCTCCCCTGCCTCGGTCCCAGGGCCCAGACTAGGATGGTGCGTCTCGCTGCTGTGACCTATGCTAGGCCCCCTCCACCCAAACTCTACTCCCCATGGCCGCAGCCTGGACCCCGACAACCCCATTCTAGTGGCCTTAGCCTACGTTTGTTTCCTTCACCCCTATGGAATCTTCTGTCCGTGGTCCACAAGTCTGGACTCTACTCCTGCTGTGATCTCCACCTGCACCTCCTAGACCCTGGCCCTAGCGATCCCCTTCCCCCGGACTTCTCACGACTTAGCTTAGTGTGCGTCAGCCCGCTGTTCTCGCCCTCACCCTCCCATCTAGACCTTGCTTGTTTGGTGTCCTGCTCCCGACTCAGGTGTCTCCTCCCCTATTCCTAGGACGCTCCTTCTTGGCAGTCCCTGGCAAGCGGGGGAGAGCCCCAGTCGGGGTGGGGGTGGTCCGGGTACTGTGCTTTCCTATGCCTGAGACTTGCCCCTTTGGGGAAGCCGCTTCGCTTGGGTGTGAGCGAGCAAGCTAGACAGAAGGGCGGCATCTGTGTGCCCGGAAGGCAGACCAGGGCATTTCCCGTGGCCGCCGCCTCGGTGCTGCCAGCGCAGAGCGTCTTGCGGGGCGCCCTGCCTGAGTGGGGAGCAGAGTGCTGACGGTGAGAGAGCCGAGTGGACAGGGATGAACGCACAATCGCTCTTGTGAGGCCGCGGCACTGGGGCTGGGGGGCACCAAGCTCAGAGCCCAACATATGGCCTGGACACAATGCACTCTAGCAGGCGCAGCCTCCCCTTCCCCCTGAACTGTCAGCTTGTAAGGGTTGGAACTGCTGATTATGGAGGTGCCTCGGATCAGGTGAGCAAAACTCGCAGGCTGAGAGTTCCCTGGTTGAACTCTGGTGTGTGTTTTGGTAACGAAGGCAGGCACTGTGTGAGCAACTTATTTGAGGAGCCTTAGGGGTGTCCCCGGTAACCCTGCCCCCCCCCATCCACTTGGACACCTAGATGGAAGCTTGGGAAGTGGCCAGAGCTAAGGCCATGCACCTGCTGCATGGCATCGCAGCCTTGTGGTCCGCTCCTCTCCTGCCTGATGATAGATGTTTGGGAGTGGACTTTGAGCCCTAGATGGTTTTGAGGAGCCCTGCTCCATGTTTAATCAAGGATGTAGCAACTGAATTAGGGTACCTAATTCTGGTTGGCTAATAAACTTTCTATATATTGATTAAAAACATAGGCAGGACTGTTTGTCATTATATTGCTCTTTGAAAACTGGCCTGGGGGTCTGGACTGTGCGTGACCTTAGTCTGCGTGGGGAAGGACTTGTCCAGGACAGTTTGGGGTGAGGCTTTTAAAAGTAGACTGAAGTTTCCTATGTGTGCTCTGGGAGCCAGAGCCAGAGATGGTGGTGGAGTGGAGTGGCCAGAGTCCTCTATGCTTGTGCTGTTGCCATCTTCTGACAGGTGAAGAAAGGCGGGGTATTCATTGTACCTCATTGGGAGCGCTGCTCAGTCCGTGTATGGACCATTCTTGGCCAGTGGAAGCATGCCTGGTGGGCTCCAGACAGTGATCTTCCTTGTATGTTGTTGTATGTCTGATATAATGACATTGTTTAAGAAACGTAATGATGGGATGCTCAGACATGGTAAGGGAGGGCAGAGTACTTATTCCTGCAGACTGAGCGTGGATATTCCTGGTAACCAGAATTGTCATCTTGAGACAGTAGTATGGTCTGCCAAGACCTGATCCTGAGCTCTTTGGGGACTGAGATTTTGGTCTGGTGTTTTTGGTCTCTGTCTGTCTGAGTTCTGAGTTAGAGCAGTGCCTAAGACCGAAAGATACGACATGGAAGGCTGGCACCTGTTATTAGCTGTTTAAGGCGTCCAAGGCCAGCTTGGGTAACACAGAGAGCATGAGACCCTGAGTTTCAGAAAAGAAACAGGAGACTGTGTAGGGTGTCTATGAGCTTTAGCCACTTAGGGATTTGGTGCTCAATCACTCTTCAACTTGTTCTTCGTGACCCCCAGGCCTCTAAGTAATTTCTGACAGCCTGTTGTCAAATCTGTACCATGCTTGAATGATCTGATGCCCTGGTGTGGGTCGTTAGATCAAGCAGTTGACAGAGTGGGGCTATGCCATGGGTAATGAAGAACACTGTGGTTTTGTTTTCGGTGGGCTTGGTGGTAGAACGAACAGCCAGCTCCAACTTTGCTGCTGAGGGAAGAGAGGCCTGAGGTTTTTTTTTCTTGGAATCAAGTTCACTGTGCCTGTTAAGAATACTTACGCAAATGGGGTTTACTTGCATTCCCTTAGCAGGCTGTCTTACCGCTGTCCCTAAGTGCTTTGCAATTTCAAAGCACTTTGCCTATCAGAGCTCTGGCTTCTGATTTCGGGTTATTATCCTGAGCGTTACGACTCTGTTGCTTGATGGAGGCGCTGTAGTAGTGACAGGCCAAGGAGACCCCCAGGAGCTGCCCCTGTAGCTCAGATGGCACTGCAGACAGGAGCTGGTAGGACAGGCTCCTCCTGCTGTTCAACGGGGACATCCTGTGGGAGGCACTAATGTGTCTTGGTGGTCTTCTCCTGTGAATAAGATACATAGTTCAGATGCCAGAGAGATGGCTCAGGGGGTAAAGGTGATAGCTGCCAGGCCTGAGGAGCAGAGTTCAATTCCTGGAACCCATCTATAGAAGAAGAGAACCAATTCCTCCAAGTCTTCCTCTAACCTCCATACTGGCATAGTCTCTCCCCCCCCAGTAATAAATAAACAAACACTATGACTTTAAAAAATGCATAGGCCAACTCAGAGAGCCCATGTGTGTTTACAGCCCTATTCAAGTAAATCCAGCCAGTCTCCTTTTGATGTTATAAAAAGTAGCTGGTGAGCCCAGTGGTGGCAGCACATGCCTTTAATTCCAGCACTTGGGAGGCAGAGGCAAGTGGATCTGAGTGAGTTTGAAGACAGCTAGGGCCACACAGAGAAACCCTGCCTTGAAAAACACAAATGGTCGCTGTGATCACTAGTTTAAGATTAAGGAAATGATAAACCATGTCTGTGAAGGTGTATCTTCCAATTTATAACTTGGAAACTCTATACTGTTACATCCTATGGAGGAGGAGGGAGGGCAGGCGATAGTGGTGGCATGGGGGGCAAGGGACCTGACATTTCCGAACCTTGCTTGCCAGAGTGGGAGGGGCTTATTATTCAGCAGTTGCAAGGCACCTTGCCTGTCTGAAGCTACAGGGTACCATTGCCTCAGTGAGTGTTTCATGTGGCTGCTGTGTACTTCTTATGTGCCAGGAGGCAGCGGTGAGCAAGGCAGACACGAATTTGGGCCTTCCGGCATCCACTGCTGAGGGGTCTAGAACTGATGGACACAGCTTGGAAAGCTGGGCATAGTGTCGCACACCTGTAACTCCAGCTACTCAAGAAGTTCAGGTCTATCCTGGGCCACATGGTAAGAGAGCCAGCCTGTCTCTCTTCTAACACGAAGGGAGAAAGTGTTTAAGATAACTGCGCACACATAAGCCTGAGCTGTTGGATAGATGTAATGGAACATGGCGGCTTGAGCTGGCTTCTACTCTCCGGGCTTTCCGAGTGTGCGTGGTCTAGTACCTGCCATGCAATGAAGTGTGTGTCTGTAGCCTGTTTCACTCACTGACCAGGATCTGGAAGTGGCTGCTCATACTGTTTGTTCAAGGACGATCTGACGCTCAGGAGCTAGTGAATGGCATGAATAGCAGGTCCTGTGTGAGACAGTGGGTGTAAGTATTGATCCAGAAGTCCTGCAGGTGTAGGGGCTTGGAGTGGATTCTCTGAATGGGGGTGGGGCATGGAAGCCTGGAAGTGGCCACCGACTGTTCATGGCTTTGGGAGCAGCTGGTATAATGCCATTTTAGGCATTCACAGATTAGTGTTTCAGCATAAGGAGGTGGGGATATTGATGGGGCTCTTGCCCTACACCATGAACTCTGCTGGAAGCTGTTGATTTGGCCTTGCAAAAGCTTGGTGCGGAAGGTTCAACCTTGGACCACAGACCGCAGACTGTAAGATCAGACTCAGAGCCAGACATAGTGGTGCGCTCCTTTAATCCTAGTGCTTGCAGGGCAGAAGCAGGATCTCTATGAATCAAGGCCTGCTTGGTCTGCATAACAGGGCCCCATGCTGATGAGAGATACATAGAGAGACTCTGTCTCAAAACCACTCCCCCATCCCCCCAAAATAAGAGAGAGAAATCAAATTTGGATGTGTTGTCTGCATGGGTGGAGTCCCCTCTGAGAAAGGACAGGGGATAGAAATCTGGAGCTCCTGTACCCGCAGGGCCTTATCACCTGTACCTTGTCCTGGCTTCCTGGTGCTCTGGAAGTATTTCCTGGTGCTGAGTAATCCAAAAGTGAGAGCTGAGAGGTGATTGACTCTCCTTTGCCGCCTTCAGCATGGGGCTTACCTGGCTGGAGTCCTGATAGCCTCTCAGTGTGTGACCTCAGTGAGGACTTCTTCCTTCCCCTCAGCTCCTTGATGTGCAGTGTGATGTGGGGGGAGCATTTTATGGGGACACCAGGAAAAGGAAATAGTTTTAAATTTATCTCTTGTGTGTGTGTGTGTGTGTGTGTGTGTGTGTGTGTGTGTAGGTCAGAGGATAACTCGGGGAGTTGGTTCTCTTCTACCACTGGGTTGTGGGGATC